ATGCATGTTTATGACCAATTAAGTAACTTTCAATGTACGAAACTTACAAAATGTGAAGAATTTAGTGGCAAATTTACAATAACCCCTTCAAACTACGTGACAATTAAAATTCATACAAGTATGTAGGTGATCAACTACAACGTTTTATCGTTCCTCAAATAAATTAGCATCACCAAATCGTTTATCGATTTCAAAGCAACTTGGAGTCAAAACTTTAAAACTTAAATTGAAATTGATTCGAATTTTCACAATATTAGCATAGCATTTATTAAATTAGGTTTTAATGCGGCAATAGAAATATCCCTTTCTTTTTTAAGTGACTGTAAAACTAAATTATACATAATTAATGAGCTTTAAATTAAATAAATTAAGTCAGTAACTTACCCATTAGAAGGCCCATATTTAACAAAAACGGTCTCGTATGTAACGTAGCCGTAGGCAACATTTTGGTCTGTTAACAATGTTTTTATAAATGTTTGTAAAAAAATATACCTACAGTGATAACGATTCAATTAATGTTTCTTCATAATAAACATTCATAAAAAATGAGTTCAAATCACGGCACCAGCTAATAAAAATAAGTAATGAACTGTCACATGATTCTTACTTAACCCTTAAGCGAAGCAATTGTCCCTCCCTCGCAGTGTCATGATTAAAGTTCAATAAGTACCTATAGGCTGATGATTAAAATAACCTTGGTGAAAGATGCAGTGAGCCAACATGATGCGGCCAGACATCTCCTCTGCTGCGCGCGGGTTAAAAATGCATTAAAACTATTTTTATTACAATTGGCACTGGCTGCATCTGTGCGCGATTAAAAAGAAATGTAAAATTTCGCGCGCTTTTTTGACACCGCGGCTGTTTTATTTTTTATTAATAAAAAATAGTCTTAGTCGCCAGTGGCAGAGCTGTAGTCAAAAAGTTTAGTTGTCTGTGAAAAAGTGTTTGATTTTTTCAACTGTGATACAGAAAAGCCGCCAAAATTAAACAACTAAAAAGTGAGTACCAATAAAACGAGTGGACTTATTTTATTTAGCCTATACTACTAGGTATTAGTTTTTGTTTTGAGATGCCATTTTCATGTTACAATAACTGATAACTAATTAGTACCTATTTTATATCTAATCGTATGTAAAACATTCGAAATTAAACGTTGAAAATTGTACATATTTTAATAATTTATTTTTCAACCAATTTGTATGCGACGTTTTGTTTGTTTACACAAGTGTTTTAAATTAAATGCATGGCGCCTAATTATTTCTAATTTAGCGACAGCTAAAATCTAGATCACTTGAGTCTCGGTACCTATTACCTGAAAATTATACCTAATTTAAAGCGCAACCAGCACTAAAATATTTGTTAATTTTGTAATTACATAAAATAAATAATTGAGATTAACATAGCAATTTAAGATTATGTTTTTCTAGTAGGTTTAATTTTGAAAAATAGTCGCCTAGCCAAAGTTGAGGTATTGAAACTGCTATCCATTTTTCAGTGTGGTATTATTAGTATTTCACAATAGGTATAATTGCTTATTCAAATAGAAAAAATGTGGTTATGCAGGTTTTACAAATGTACACTCGACAGCAAATAAATCGCACCACCCGCGACGCGAACTTTAAAGATTTTCTTTTGACACAATAATGGTGCCCCAGCAATATTGGTGTTATTTGAAAGCCTAATAAATATCGTTAAAGAAAAACACATTTAATTTCTTAATAAATGATTAACATATACCATAAATGTGACTTTAAAAAAGACCTCACTTTTGGCTCACCTCTGGGATCAATTAGACCAAATTTTATGGTTATAAAACCAAATAATGATCACACGTGTCCTCTTTAACAGATGGATAGCGATTAATCCCAACTTAACAGTTTTATAGTCATAAAAAATGGCTATAGCGAAACTACCTATTTTTTGAAGAAGTGACTCTGGATCCTTGTAAAGACACATTTTTGGGGTAAAAACCTTTCCTTTAATAAAATGAAGTTTAGAACTAGGCTTTTTAAATGGTGCCAATATTGGTGGGAAGTATGGATGCATACGTTTGAAAATGCTTGTCGCGGGTGGTGCGATTTATTTGCTGTCGAGTGTATTTTAGGCTGAAAACCTCTGATTCTCCTTTTGCTGATGCTCCTTTTCAAGAAACGATTCCACTGTCTCTAATAATACTCTCTCGTCTCTAATACTGCTTTTTATTCCAAAAGAAACAGTTTTCCAAAGAGTAAAAGAATATCAACACATGTCTTTGTTCACCGACGTCTCCCTATACTATTGGCATGTATTTATAGTTCGGCACGTGGATTCAGTATTTATAGTTGATCTTAATCACGAGTGTGTCTTCGGCAAAAGAAACATAAAACTAGCATTTATACTGGTGCAATGATCGACCTGAGTTGATTTTAGAAATATTAATAATCATCATCATCAGAATTATATTCAGGGACTATTCCCACCTCTAGTTCCCACCGCTGCAACTCCTGTGTAGCCAAAATCTATAGCTTGACCGTCAATACAAACCCAAATAATGTTGAAAGTTGAGCTGTCATTGGACTCGCAACGAAATTAATCAGGAGAACATAGGATGAGTTCGAAGTTGAGGATCGAATTCCCTCCAGTGCAAATGCATTTTGAAGGCATGCCTAGATCCTCTAGACTTCAGCTTCAGCTATCAAAGTAACAATGACAATCTTTCGTAAATGAAAGAGAAAAGTCAAAAACTTAACTTTAATCGAATAACATATTTTGTGCCTCTGCAAGGGTAGGACATAACGCGGTTAGGGCAACTACTCTGTTAAAAATTTCAATCGTTTTTTTATTGCAAGGGATAGTTGAGACTGTATACACTAGTAGGTCATTAGCCATATGTAATTTTATTAATTTCCCCATAGATTTTGCATGGCAAAAAAGAAACATGATCTTACTAGTTTGCGAACTCAATTGGCTAATTACCTTCTCACTACTACTACTAATTTCAAAACAACTTTAATTGAAATTTAATAAAACTAATCGGTTTTCAGAGCTTGGTATGATTTTTAAAACAATTTATGTGTTTAATTTTTTGGATAATAGTACAATTTGGCACGGAAATCGAATAGGAAGCAGATTAAGAAAATTTTCAGTTTTATCTTTTTGGTGATTCTTTAAAAAAAAATCAGACTAAGTTTCAATTGCACAGCTCTTCGATGTATAGAGTTTGTGAAGTGAGGAGCATGTAGAGTTAGAAGTTTGGCTCAATATGGGATCTTGAGTAACTTGAAGATAGTGTGAGCCATATTATGGTCTTATCTTGACTCGTTAGCATCGTTTGATGATAAAAAATGTCCGACAGTATCATGTAGAGTCAGCATACTTTTGTTTTCTAGACAGGGTGAATTAGATATAACCGAGAACAAAGAAACTTTCTTCCAGTAAAAACCTATCCTAGACTGCATCTCACTTAACACCAGTTGCGATTGCGGTCAAATACCTGCCATGTTATGCATAAAATAAACATAATATTTGAACATTGGTCCAGGGAATATTTAACAAAGATTTGGAATACATAGTACCCTACACACTCCAAACGCGTTGAGGAATGGTTTTAGAGGCAAAAACTTTAGTGTGAAACTACGAGTATAGCTCGTAGTTTCACACTAAAGTTTTTGCCTCTGGTGAATTAGAGAGAGTTTTCTCCTGCTGTGGAGGCCAAATGACTAAATGATGCAATCAAGCAATTTATTAGAATTAAAACAAATGTTTTTCCGCAATCAATCCTTCTTGTCACAAAACAAATAAATATAACATCGATATTGGCTAGGCGTTAGTAGTATGAGGAATATATGGTATTTTAGTCATTTGGTTGTATAATACTTGTCTCTAATAGGAAGTGAAGCCAAATCAGAGTCTTGGCCCATCTCCAGTATGCCGCGTTTCATGTTTTAATAAATCATATTTAGGCGGTCTAGTGGAGTTTCAATTAATCAAAATTGAACTTAAAATGCTTTGACGCGATTTCTAAACTAATATTTGGCTAAGATTATTTCATTATTTTAACTATTTGAGATGTTTAATTTCTTCATAGAGCCAAATATGAACATGATACCGTCTTTGACGTAGATTTACATCAATATCCTTAACCAAGCATAGTTAGGTAAGTAAATATAAAGGTTCACCACAGTTCGAATTGTTTGGTAGGTACTAGGTTATTAGAGTTATTTCAGAATCAGACTCCACCAGCATAGAAAGAGAAAAACTGTAATAAGATCTAAATTCAGTACCTATCCATGTCATGTACAACGTGCTCGTTCTAAACACGTATTCTTCAAAGAAGACTTATGTACTAAAAGCCGTAGCATGTCGTCGATTCAGTTTATACCCCAGTGACACAACTGCATCGCCCTTAAGCGTTTTCAATCCCCTTGCAGACATAATGCCCACAATTTAATAAACTATTTATAGAGTTTAATACAACTAAGTGAATGGACACGAATCGATGTATGCGCGCGCATACCAAGCATGGCTTCCTTCTTTCACCCAGACGCGTCGCGATCGATAGCGTTAAAGCCAGTTTGTCAATCCATTGCTCACTTCGAACGCTTTCTTCGCATATCGGTAAAGGAAAACAAGCGATATACAGAGCGCAACCCAATGTTTGTGCTAATAAAAACGGTGACACCATTGCAACAGGCGAGACAGTAGTAATCCTGCCGACTATACGTAGTCACGTAGCGTGATTCGTGCCGACAGCACTGAAATGAAACTGAACTCTTCAACAAAGAATGTGAAAAACATAGGTTTTTCTAACTAAAAATGTCAATATTTTAAATCGGACTATCCTTGTAATTCATAACAACTTATCCAAAACAAAAATGCCAGCGTAAACAGCAAAACTCATCCCCAAACCTCTTATCGTCACGTATTGAAAAGCCGGTTCAGACAACACTTGCAGCAGACGAGAGACAAGAACAAAAGAAACCAGATCGTAGGATCTGGACGGTAGAGTCCATTCGCCTGTAATGGAGAAAGGTGAACGGTTTTCAGAGTACCTGTTCGCGAAGATGGGCCCAGGAGACAGAGGCCCGCAGACCACGGAGGACCGGACTGCTCCGGTGGAACCGACCGGCGCGAAGAAGTGGTTCATTGACAACACGATGCTGGTGGTCACGCTGCTCGGTGTCATCACGGGAATTGGCGTGGGTGAGTTTGAGATTTTCATTTTCTTTGAAAAGCATTAGTTTTTCGCTCCCCATCCAAAAAGTAAATTAAACTATTTTTGTTTTTCGCTGGGTCTCAAAATAGATATCTCTACCTAATTTCATCTAAGTAAAGAAAACCAGACAGAAAGACGAAAAATTGTTACGTATTTATAATAATAATAGTTCGAATGGATTCTTCAAGTTTCTTTGTGGTTGAAGATTCTGGCTTCATCTCCCTCCACCTTTTATTTGAGCATTACTACCCATCGTCGTTTCAGCCGAACTACCCATCACGTTTTGGTTATTTAAAAAATGTTTCGAAACTTTACCTATGCAGAAAATACATACAATAAGTATATTAATTAAACACAATAGCATTTTTTGAGTTGGAAATAGATGATTTTTAACGAAATGTAAAGTTCGATGCGCAAGCTTTATGTAATGTACGAATATCAATTTCAGGATTTGGTTTGCGCCCTTGTAACCTTGGACCTGACGCACTGGTGATTATATCATACCCTGGAGAACTGTTCATGAGGCTACTCAAGCTCATGATTCTACCCCTTATCATTGCCAGCCTGATAGCCGGTTCAGCAAGCTTAAACGCGAAGATGAGTGGGAAGATCGCAGTGAGAACTCTATTATACTTCATCTTAACATCCATGTTCAACGCCTTTCTGGGTATTTTGATGGCAATGATGATACATCCAGGGAAACCAGAACTGAAAGAAGATTTTGTCAGTGTTAATACAGGGAGAAGGGACCACAGTATTCTGGATAGTCTTTTAGATATAGGAAGGTGAGTAAACTTAAGTATTTTAAGAAAGGGACATAGAAAGTATGATCAAAATAAAATACGCGTATTTTTAAATAATGTCAAACGGCATCGGATCAGTAATGTTTACCTTTTTGGTGCCAAAAAATCTGCAACTCTCTAATTTTATTCGGACAATCATGAAATTAAATTGGAAGACCTTTTACCCTTTCCTTAAACTGCAGACAGTGAGATCTGTTTATATTTGTTTCAATTTGAAATTTTGAGAGACAAGGTTTTACTCGTAGATACTGAGATAGTGGATCATGAGTAATGATAATGCAAAATTTAATCTTTTCAGAAACGTATTTCCTGACAACATAGTGCAGGCTGCCTTCCAGCAGGCCCATACGGTATATGTGCAGCCGACGACTTTGTTCGGCAGGAATGCTTCTGATAACGATACGTTTCCGGCTATGGTCCGAGTTGTATCGTATAGGTAAGATTATACCAAAATACTGGGTCATTTTAAATAACTGTGATTATTAAAACTGAGACAAGGTTTTCATGCCATTTTTCATGTGTTGTTTCTGCCGTTTTATTTCAAAATCGTTATTAAAGAAAATTCGTTCTTCTTATCGTTTAGTCGTGCTTATCAATTTATTTTTAATTTATTTTAATTAATAGGTACATCAACAAAGTCACGTAGTACATACGTTTTAACATGGTTAACACATCTTTATTTATGATGATGATTATGTTTTATCGTTTCTTTCTAAAATCTAAGTTTTTTAATCACCAAAATCCGTGGTTAAGGCCCGATTTGACCAAACTTTTATCCGAGAGTAACTCCTGGTATAACTGGCACATTGACAGTTTCAGTATGGGAAATACATGTCAAAACTGACGATTTATTCTGAGACTAGCTGGGCCCGCGACTTCGTACGCGTGAAAACCCGTTTTCGCAACATTTTTAGGGTTCCGTANGGCTATCTAACACTGAAAGAATTTTTCAAATCGGACCAGTAGTTCCTGAGATTAGCGCGTTCAAGTAAACAAACAAACAAACTCTTCAGCTTCATAATATTAGTATAGAAATATAGATTAATATTTACTCTTGTTTGATCGAATCCACCCTAAGAACTTGGTTTAAATTTTCAGAGCTGGTACCAATACTCTAGGGCTAGTTTTCTTCTGCCTAGTGTTTGGCAGTCTGCTGGGCACCTTGGGGCCTAAGGGACAGGTGGTGATCGACTTCTTCCAAGCGATCTTCGAGGTCATCATGAAGATGGTGACGGGAGTCATGTGGATGACTCCGGTCGGCGTCAGCAGTGTGATTGCGGGGAAGATTCTCGGAGTCAGTAATGTTGGTAAGAACTATACTTTTTTACAGTAAAGGTTCCTCTATGTAATGTTAAAATGGATCATGGAATACAAAGTCATTTCATCTACTCGGTAGTAGGAGATGACTTTTTGTTACGGCCTCATGGCATACTCGTAATGTTATGAAATGTTCTAGAATGGATACTGATACTGGCCATTGATACACACACACAGAACTTAGAAATAATAGGTACTAGGTTTAGCAATATTAAGAGTAGGCGCACACCGTCGATTTTTCGTCGGCCGATAGTTTAGTCGGGCAGTTGATCAGTATGGGCATGTATGGGAGTGCGCACACTACGCCGATTCGATTTGGCCGATTCTTCATACAATTTATTTAAAATCGGGCAAAACTATCGGCCAACTAAAAATCAACGGTGTGCGCCTACTCTATTTCGTCCAGTATCTCAGACCGAGTTGCACCATCTTCCTTTAACTTTAACAAACGTCAAACTTCTGTCGAACTCCGTATAAAAAATACCGTTTATTGTTTGTAGTTATGGTTAAAGTTACTCAGCCTAACACTATTATTGTTACTATAATACGTTTATAACATTAATTTATTTCTAGTTACTATGGTAAATTATTACCCTCTTACTAATAAAAGTTACACGCTCGTTGAATAGTGTTTTAAAGTGACGTTTAGTATGGAAATGTCATTTTAAAACAGTGATCAACAACTGTATAACTTTTTATTAGTAAGGGGGTTAGTAGGTATTTATTTATAATTAAGTGTAACATTTTCTCTAATTCCAGCTCAAGTGATGTCCCAACTGGCCTGGTTCATAACAACAGTGGCGATCGGCGTGTTTTTCTACCAGCTATTGGTGATGCAACTCATATACTTCTTGTTCCTAAGGAAGAATCCATACAAATTCTACTGGGGACTGTCTCACGCCATGCTTACCGCATCAGCCACTGCTTCTACGTGAGTATTTAAGACAATATAGTAAACCGGTTAAAGTACAGAAAATATAAAATTTTGAGTCCTTTAAAAAATAGAGGAAACTCGGCTGTATGCTTGTAACTAACGTAATAAAAAAAAAACTTTAATTAGTATTAAAAAATATTTTAACCTCCAGTTTGCATTCAGTCGAAATCATACTGCCATGAAATGTTAAAACATCGATTTAATTCGATCGCAAACAAAATACCGAATGATCGAACGTTCTTCGCACCACGATTTCGCGAATCGAGTGCTTTTTAAATCGAGCGTTTAATTGATCGGACGCAAATATCGAATGTTACGGAGATTGACCATTAATTATATTTTATGTATATCGTGAATATAATGTAATTAGATTTCTTCTGCAACAATGTAATTACGAAGACCGGAACGCATCGTTTTTCTATGTATGTCAGGTAAATATTGATCTACCCCCAAGATAGTACTTTTACTCGCTTTCCGTCTTCTTCCGTTAAAACTTCGCATTCGTGTGATTATTTTTTGAACTACATTATTATTTTGTTGTAAAAAGGTAGGATCTCCTCACTTTAGATTTTCTTGATTGGGCAAAAGGCCTTTTATTTCCTTATATTATCAAACACTCTCATCATAAAGTTCAAGTCCCTTGTACAACCACAACAAAATCCAGCATTTTTTTTTTACTCACAGTGCCGCAGCCCTCCCAGTGACCTTTCGAGCTATGGAGGGTCCTCTCCGAGTCGATCCTCGCGTCACCCGATTCGTTCTACCCATCGGCTGCAACATCAATATGGACGGCACGGCACTTTTCTTGTCTGTGGCCAGCGTCTTCATCTGTCAGATGAACAACTTGCCCTTGGGATTTGCTCAGCTGGCTACTATTTTGTAAGTATTTTTGTGATGCAGTTTGTGATAGATATTTTATGTTTTGTAACATCAATATGGACGGCACGGCACTTTTCTTGTCTGTGGCCAGCGTCTTCATCTGTCAGATGAACAATCTACCTTTGAGATTTGCCTAGCTACCTAGCTACTATTTTGTAAGTATTTTTGTGATGCAGTTAGTGATAGATATTTTTTGTTAGTTGTAACATCAACATGGACGGCACTTTTCTTGTCTGCGGCCAGCGTCTTCATCTGTCAGATGAACAACCTGCCCTTGGGTTTTGCCCAACTGGCTACTATTTTGTAAGCAGTTATTGTTAGATATTGTGTGTTAGTTGTAACATCAACATGGACGGCACTCTTCTTGTCTGTGGCCAGCGTCTTCATCTGTCAGATGAACAACCTGCCCTTGGGATTTGCCCAGCTGGCTACTATTTTGTAAGTATTTTTGTGATGCAGTTAGTGATAGATATTTTGTGTTAGTTGTAACATCAACATGGACGGCACAACTATTTTCTTACTGTGGCCAGTGACTTATGCCATTTTCACCATCAATCCCTAATTTTTAAGTGACCTCTACGGTAACAAATAACAAAAATTTTGCTGTCATAGGGTTCACTTAAAAATAAGGGATTGATGGTAAAAACGGCCATTAATCTGTCAGATGAACAACTACCTTTGAGATTTGCACAGCTTGTTGTAAGTATTTTTGTGAAGCATTTAGTGATAAGGATCGGTTGTAATATCACCATGATGGCCAATATCTTCATAATTATGTCAGACCAATTTTTATATTTGCCTAGCTGGCTACCATTCTGTAAGGTTTTTGTGTTATAGTTTGTGACTTTTGAAATATTGACAATGACACGGTGCTCTTCAAGTCTAGCGTCTTTATCTGCCATCTGCCTATATAGGTAAATCTATTTAGTACAGAGTGTTACCCTTTTTATCCTAAGCCTCTAAATCGATTAGGTACTGGGTAGGTTATAAAATAGCGAAGAAAGATACTGTGATGTGGTTCTAAGTTATTGGTTCTTGAATCGATCTAATTGTTCGATCTTACGAATCACCACCGCTGTAACCGCCGCGGGGTAACGTAACCTACATCAATTTATGACCGAACTGATATCGCACACTGTAAATTTTAATAATCATCGATTGGGCTATCATTGGCTTCATTACTTACGATATAGTGTTCAAATATGTTTTAAATTATTTTTCCATAGCTTAAAAACTTGGTCGTGACTGGGAATTATTGCATTATATTCTAATATTTTTTACAGCATTGTCATAATGTGAATTTATTTTGACTTAAGTTTTTTTTTTATCCACAATGAGGAAGCTCTTGGCGGGTATATCAGCTGATGGTCAGGCCTAAGGTGGAAGTAAGCTTCACCCGGAATCTGGCAAGATATTATCTTACTTAGTGTACTCCTACCTTCAAGATATGTTTTGATTTCTAGCCTTTTTGACCCTTATCATTAACGAACTGTTCTCTATTCCAGCCTAACATCAACAGCAGCTTCTGTGTCATCCGCGTCAGTGCCGTCAGCAGCGATGGTGCTGCTACTCGTGGTGCTCGCTGCAGTGGACGCTCCTACACATGACGTGTCGCTGCTGTTCGCTGTCGATTGGCTTGTGTGAGTTACTTGCTTCTGCATGCCAAATAGACTAATGCCCGTTTTCACCATCAATCCCTAATTTTTAAGTGGACCCCTTATTAAACTAAATTCCTGTTATTTGTTACCATAGGGGTCACATAAAAATTAGGTATTGATGGTGAAAACGGGCATAAGGCTCAAACCTCTGGGTTAGGAATGTAACGACGCTCAATCGACCTCTAGTGCGATTTCAAGTCGTGTCAAAACGAGACGCACTTTTAGTGGTGAACTTGCAATGTCGAGGGTAGTTAGAGGTGCTATCGACAAAAAAATATTTTGACCCATGTAGCACAATGAAGACTTTGCTATATGAATCGATAAGGCGTCAATGTACACGTACTATTAATTGATACTTTATGATTAATCTTATTTAATTTTATGACGATCAATAATACGTTTGAACTTAGTTAAATTGGTAGTGTCAACTTTATCCCTTTCACTTCATTAGCTCATCATTCCATAATCACCCGTAGTGTTCTTACAATTAAACTTAGTTTTCTCTTCAGTGACCGCATACGCACAACAAACAACATGCTGGGCGACTGCTACGCGGCTGCCGTCGTGGAGCACCTGTCTAAGAATGAGCTCATGGCTTGTGATGCACTCTCCACTGTGAGTGTAAGTTTGCTACGAGTACTTTAAGTTTCATAACACTGGTCTTAGTATTGTGCCCTGTATGACACCTTAATTTAAACTTTGTTGTATAAAATCTGTCCAAGAATGAGGTCATGGCCTGTGATGCACTCTCTACTGTGAGTGTAAGTTTGTTACGAGTACTATAGGTTTTATAACACTGGTCTTATTATTGTGCCCTGTATGACACCTTAATTTAAACTAAGTTGTAGAACACCTGTCCAAGAATAAGCTCATGGCCTGTGATGCACTCTCTACTGTGAGTGTAAGTTTGTTACGAGTACTATGGTTTTATAACATTGGTCTTAGCATTGTACCCTTTGGGACACCTTGATTAAACCTTACTTGTATGCATGTTACGAGTAGGCACACCAGGTTTTATAACACTGGTCTTAGTATTGTGCCCTGTGGGACACCTTGATTAAACCCTATTTTTTTGTAGGTAAGTATTTTTTCTATACCGGATACCTTTAATAGGATTTATTTTTACTCTCGGTGCTTTAAACCCAAAAAAACATAAAGAAATAGCTGCCTTCTTTCAGAGCCTACACGATTTTTTGGTTTGATGACAATCTCAATCTAAATACCATTAATGATTTGCGTTGATGGCAACTGCAGTACGATACGATTGCACATTTTTAATATATTTAAAAAAAATCTCCAATTAACAACCTTTCAGCTAAATAAAGATAGGGAGTTTCAAATTACCTGTCTCACATAATCGGATATTAGAAATTTCAGATTAAATGATAGATTTCCTAACACTTCTCAAAAAGTAGTAAGCCAATACATCTTATTTCAGGAACCTGTAACCAATGGTCTCACCACCATCAACACAGAGGTGGACCTCGGTCTCGTGACTCCCAGCAGAAAGTCATTGGCGTCAGATGACGTCATCATCGACATGCATTTCACCGGCAACCACTCCGTAAAGAGGATCTAGTTTAACGCGTGCCTTTCATAATATTTATCTAGAACGCCGTAAGTAGACTTTTTAGATATTAGTCAGTATGACTCTAAAATTCGTAATCATTAGATTTTGTACGAAAATATCTTGCAATTTGAATAGGTATGTATGTGCGCTAACCATTTTAGCGTTACTAGCTGGTACGTCCAGTCAATTGACAATGGCAAATGCGATAGCTCATAATGATAAGAAGCAAGTGAATAATTATCAAACGCAATTGACTATTCCTAAATAAGCAATCAAGTATTTAACACTTATTAATATGTAATATCACCTAGTGTTGATCATAGCAGCAACGTTTTGATATATTTTGAATGATATGATGCTAAAGTATTCAAGGTACCTAATTATATTTAAGTGCCAAAGGCCAATTCGTAATTTTAAAATGCCATTTTTACATTTTTATAAATTAGAAAATGATTGACGAGCCAGTTTCGGTTGGTTTCATCACAAAATGACTCTATAGACTATAATAGATCGCTGACATATCGGAAGATGGGTCTAATATGCAATGTATGCATTTATTTGCAAGTATAGTAAAAATGGAATTCCGTTTTCATAATGTATGTATGTATTCATTGCTTAGTATTAAGGCATTTCTAGGCTTTAAGTTACGACAAAGGTCCCGTTAGATGTAGTTTTTGCCTTACTATCCTCTATGATATAACATGGGCAGTTGTAATAATTGTTATCAAATTTAATAATAACACCTAAANTTCAGCTTTATAATATTAGTATAGAAATATAGATTAATATTTACTCTTGTTTGATCGAATACACCCTAAGAGCTTGGTTTACATTTTCAGAGCTGGTACCAATACTCTAGGGCTAGTTTTCTTCTGCCTAGTGTTTGGCAGTCTGCTGGGCACCTTGGGGCCTAAGGGACAGGTGGTGATCGACTTCTTCCAAGCGATCTTCGAGGTCATCATGAAGATGGTGACGGGAGTCATGTGGATGACTCCGGTCGGCGTCAGCAGTGTGATTGCGGGGAAGATTCTTGGAGTCAGTAATGTTGGTAAGAACTATACTTTTTTACAGTAAAGGTTCCTCTACAGAATACAAAATGATTTCATGTACTCGATAGTAGTAAACTTTTTCGCCCGTATTCACAAACATTACTATGAGGTCTCACAGTGCGAGTAGATGCACAGGTAACACACGAACCAATCACAGAGCTCTATTCAACGATGTGCGTTCGATTTGGAAGCATCGTTTGTGAATACGGGCGTTTGTTATGTACTTATGACATAATCGTGATGTTGAAACATTATGATTACCAATTCTTTGGGTTTTAGAATGGGTCTGTACTGCAATATTATTTCGGTGTACTTACTCTCCAATGTCCAAAAGTATAAAGTATTCCTAAACATTCCATATTTTTCCTTGCTGCTTTGTGCACATATATTAAAATGTATCGTTGGGGCAGAAAAGTTCTCGAGTGGCGACCACGGGCTGGAAGACGTAGCGTAGGCAGGCCTCCTACTAGGTGGACCGACGATCTGGTAAAGGTCGCGGGAAGAGCCTGGATGCGGGCAGTGGACGTCATTTGGCTGAAACGAACGAACGAACGATATTAAAATGTAACATTTTCTCTAATTCCAGCTCAAGTGATGTCCCAACTGGCCTGGTTCATAACAACAGTGGCGATCGGCGTGTTTTTCTACCAGCTATTGGTGATGCAACTCATATACTTCTTGTTCCTAAGGAAGAATCCATACAAATTCTACTGGGGACTGTCTCACGCCATGCTTACTGCATCAGCCACTGCTTCTACGTGAGTATTTAAGACAATATAGTAAACCGGTTAAAGTACAGAAAATATAAAATTTTGAGTCCTTTAAAAAATAGAGGAAACTCGGCTGTATGCTTGTAACTAACGCAATGAAACAAAACTTTAATTAGTATTAAAAAATATTTAAACCTCCAGTTTGCATTCAGTCGAAATCATACTGCCATGAAATGTTAAAACATCGTAATTCGATCGCAAACAAAATACCGAATGATCGTACGTTCATCGTACCATGATTTCACGAATCGAGTGCTTTTTAAATCGAGCGTTTAATTGATCGAACGCAAATATCGAATGTTTCGGTGATTGGCCGTTAATTACTTAGGTACATCGTGAATATAATGTAATTAGATTTCTTGCTGCAACAATGTAATTACGAATAACGGAACGCATCGTTTTTCTATGTATGTCAGGCAAATATTGATCTACCCCCAAGATAGTACTTTTACTCGCTTTCCGTCTTCTTCAGTTAAAACTTCGCATTCGTGTGCTTTTTTTTTTAACTATACTAGGTATATTATTTGTGATTATTTGTTGTAAAAAGGTAGGATCTCCTCATTTTAGATTTTCTTGATTGGGCAAAGGGCCCTTTATTTCCTTAAATTGTTATCAAACACTTTAAGAAAATAATTGGTAGGTACCTACTTACCTTCATCATAAAGTTCAAATCCCCTGTACAACCACAACAAAATCCAGCATTTTTTTTCTATTCAGTGCCGCAGCCCTCCCAGTGACCTTTCGAGCTATGGAGGGTCCCCTTCGAGTCGATCCTCGGGTCACCCGGTTCGTTCTACCCATCGGTTGCAACATCAATATGGATGGAACGGCACTCTTCTTATCTGTGGCCAGCGTCTTCATCTGTCAGATGAACAACTTGCCCTTGGGATTCGCACAGCTGGCTACTATTTTGTAAGTACTTTTGTGATGCAGTTAGTGATAGATATTTTTTGTGTTAGTTGTAACATCAACATGGACGGCACTTTTCTTGTCTGTGGCCAACGTCTTCATCTGTCAGATGAACAACCTGCCCTTGGGTTTTGCCCAACTGGCTACTATTTTGTAAGCAGTTATTGTTAGATATTGTGTGTTAGTTGTAACATCAACATGGACGGCACTCTTCTTGTCTTGGCGGGTTACCTACGTGAGTGCGACAAACGTTACATCGAATTTTGTTTCTTCGAAAACCTTTCTGCGAAGTTACTATACTGCGACGCCTTGTTATATCGATGCCTTGTTACTGCGATGTAACGTTACATCGAAAAACTTTACTGCGAACGATTTTACTGGCTACCATTCTGTAAGGTTTTTGTGTTATAGTTTGTGACTTTTGAAATATTGACAATGACACGGTGCTCTTCAAGTCTAGCGTCTTTATCTGCCATCTGCCTATATAAATCTATTTAGTACAGAGTGTTACCCTTTTTATCCAAAGCTAAATCGATTAGGTACTGGGTAGGTTATAAAATAGCGAAGAAAGATACTGTGATGTGGTTCTAAGTTATTGGTCCTTGAATCGATCTAATTGTTCGATCTTACGAATCACCACCGCTGTTACCGCCGCGGGGTAACGTAACCTACATAAATTTATGACCGAACTGATATCGCACACTGTAAATTTTAATAATCATCGATTGGGCTATCATTGGCTTCATTACTTACGATATAGTGTTCAAATATGTTTTAAATTATTTTTCCATAGCTTAAAAACTTGGTCATGACTGGGAATTATTGCATTATATTCTAGTACTAAAGGCCGCCCGCGACTTCGTTCGCGTGAACCCCGTTTTACCCCCTTAGGGGTGAAGTTTTGAGATTTTTTAGAGGTTTCCCGGTAATTATTCGAACTTTTATCGCCGTAAAAACCATCCTTGGACTTCAACAAACATTTAAAAAAAAGAATTGGTAAAATTGGTCCAGGCGTTGTTGAGTTATGCGCTTACCAACACATTTTGCGATTCATTTTTATATTATGTTAATTTATTTTGACTTAAGTTTTTTTATCCACAACGAGGAAGCTCTTGGCGTGTATCTCACCTGATGGTCAGGCCGAAGGTGGAAGCAAGCTACACCCGGAATCTGGCAAGATATCTTACTTAGTGTACTCGTACCTTCAAGAGTGATAGTATGTTTTAATTTCTATCCTTTTTGACCCTTATCATTAACAAACTGTTTTCTCTTTTCCAGCCTAACATCAACAGCAGCTTCAGTGTCGTCCGCGTCAGTGCCGTCAGCAGCGATGGTGTTGCTACTCGTGGTGCTCGCTGCAGTGGACGCTCCAACTCATGACGTGTCGCTGCTATTTGCTGTTGATTGGCTTGTGTAAGTTACTTCAATTCATCATCATAATTTCAGCCATAGAACGTCCACTGCTGAACATAGGCCTCCCCCAATGACTTCCATGTTGACCGGTTAACAACGGCCTGCTTTCAGCGCCTTCCTTTGTGAGATCGTCGGTCCACCTTATGGGTGGACGTCCTACGCTGGGCTTTCCGGTACGTGGTCTCCACTCCATAACTTGCTGCCCTATCGGCAGTTCACTTAAATTGTTTCTGCTTACATAATGTAAGCCAAATACATTAAAACTCTAATTCAAGAATTGAATAAACCCTAACCTAATTGAATAGGCCTACTCCGATTTAATTATTCCGGCGCATTATACAGGGAGGGCAGGTAGGTAGGTGAAGTTGCCTAAGTCGAGGCGTCGTAGGTCGTTATCACAAACAAAACATTGATACATAGGTACTCCTACGGTCTTCTTTTAGAAATACAACTGCTATTAGATAATTAGCTATTTTACAATAATAACACCCCATCCATGTATCTCAACAAAGACTTTGCTTTAAGGATTGACAAGGAGTCACCGTAAAGCATAAAGTCTTATTTATTTTATTTGTAAATATTTAGTCTATAGGTTCATTACGAGTATTTGTATTAAGAAAGTGAATATTAGGAAATATTAATCTGATTAAAATATTATCCATAATGAAAATAATTAAAATGTACAAAAAATACTTTCTCTACATTTGCTCACCATTGACAAATCACCCGTATTTTTCTCATAATTGAACTTACTCTTCTCTGCAGTGACCGCATACGCACAACAAACAACATGCTGGGCGACTGCTACGCGGCTGCCGTCGTAGAGCACCTGTCCAAGAATGAGCTCATGGCCTGTGATGCACTCTCCACTGTGAGTGTAAGTTTGTTACGAGTACTATAGGTTTTATAACAGTGGTCTTAGTAATGTGCCCTGTGAGACACCTTTATACCTTAGTTGTAAAACACCTATCCAAAGATGAGCTCATGGCCTGTGATGCTCTCTCCACTGTGAGTGTAAGTTTGTTACGAGTACTATTGGTTTTATAACAGTGGTCTTAGTATTGTGCCCTGTAAGATACCTTAATTAAAACTTAGTTGTAGAAAATCTGTCCGAGAATGAGCTGATGGCCTGTGATGCACTCTCCACTGTGAGTGTAAGTTTGTTACAAGTACTTTAATAGGTTTTATAACACTGGTCTTAGTATTGTGTCCTGTATGACACCTTAATTTAAACTAAGTTGTAGAACACCAGCTGTCCAAGAATAAGCTCATGGCCTGTGAGAGTTACGAGTACCACAGGTTTTAAAATACTGGTCATTAATGGGACACCTCGATTAAACTTTATTAGTAATAATTTATGTTTGTTACGAGCAGGTATTAGTATTGTGCTCTGTGGGACACCTTGATTATACCTTATTTGTAGTTAAGTATTTTTTTCCATACCGGATACCTTTGATAGGTTAACTCTCGGTGCTTAAAATCCAAAAAACATAAAGAAATAGCTGCCTTCTTTCAGAGCCTACACGATTTTTTGCTTTGGTGACATCTCAGTCTAACTACCATTATTGATTTGCGTTGATGGCAACTGCAGTACGATATAACTGCACATTTGTAATATATTTTTTAATAAATTTCAAAATTCCAATTGAGGACCTTGCAGCTAAATAAAGATAGGGAATTTCAAATTACCTGTTTCACATAATCGGATATTTAGAAATTTCAGATTAAATGATAGGTATGTTCTCAAAAATTAGTAATCCAATAAATCTTATTTCAGGAACCTGTAACCAATGGTCTCACCACCATCAACACAGAGGTGGATCTAGGTCTCGTGACTCCCAGCAGAAAGTCATTGGCGTCGGATGACGTCATCATCGACATGCATTTAACCGGCAACCACTCCGTAAAGAGGATCTAGTTTAACGCGTGCCTTTCATAATATTTATCTAGAACGCCGTAAGTAGACTTTTTAGTAATTAGTCAGTATGACTCTAAAATTCGTAATCATAGATTTTGTACGAAAATATCTTGCAATTTGAATAGGCATGTATGTGCGCTAACCATTTTAGCGTTTACTAGCTGGTACGTCCAGTCAATTGACAATGGCAAATACGATAGTAATAATAATAAGAAGCAAGTGAATAATTATCAAACGCAATTGACTATTCTTAAATAAGCAATCAAGTATTTAACACTTATTAATATGTAATATCACCTAGTGTTGATCATAGCAGCAACGTTTTGATATATTTTGAATGATACGATGCTAAAGTATTCAAGGTACCTAATTATATTTAAGTGCCAAAGGCCAATTCGTGATTTTAAAATGCCATTTTTACATTTTTATAAATTAGAAAATCATTGACGAGCCAGTTTAGGTTGGTTTCATCACAAAATGACCCTATAGACTATAATAGATCGCTGACATATCGGAAGATGGGTCTAATATGCAATGTAGGCATTTATTTGCAAGTATAGGAAAAATGAAATTCCGTTTTCATAATGTATGTATTCATTGCTTAGTATTAAGGCATTTCTAGGCTTTAAGTTACGACAAAGGTCCCGTTAGATGTAGTTTTTGCCTTACTATCCTCTATGATATAACATGGGCAGTTGTAATGATTGTTATCAAATTTAATAATAACACCTATACAGGCAGCTTTACTAAAATTAAGGTTTTGATGTCCTTTTGAATTGGTATTTGTGCAAATGTTTTAGATTCCTACTTTTTACTTTTAAGATACCTTATGGTCATTGTCATTTATAGATTTAGATCCAGCTGTGATATGATATTTGTTGTTTTTCTTTTCAATTACTGGGTATTATTTGATAAAAATAAAAACCAGTGATAAAATTTTACATATTTTATTTATTTTCGCTTACATTCTCCACGGACAGTCGAACTTAAATCTAAATATGGACAGGGATTATTTACAATATTTAACTACTGTTCAAATAATTGACACGGAGAAATATCACTTTATAAAAAAATATAATGAATAAAGTTGGCAAGTGTCAATCGTGAACAGATTACAGGCGTTTTCGATACTTAGACGAAAATCACAGTATTATAAATGATACTAAATATGTTGATGATTTTCCAGAAATCACAAAAGGCACAATAGTTCCACTTACAGTTAACGATCTAATAGTTGACGTACAACAAATTTGTGACTGCATTTAGTAAAATACATGTTTCAATAAAGCTTATCAAAAATTGCAATATCTAAAAGTATACTTATAGCTTAACGTAAAGCTGATTCGTTTGTTTTATAATAACATAAAATAACATGGCAGTCTTCATTTAAATATTTTACAAGGCACTAAAATATACAGACTAATATTTACAGTTAATAATACAACCCGAATGAAGACTATTTACACTACCGTAAAATCGGTATAAGCGCTTAGTACATCACTTTGAGCATAGTTCAGGCAGTCCATTTGTGAATGCACAAAATGATATTAGAAAAACTAATCCGATCACATCGGTAATCAATAAATATTACTACCAATACTTAATTTGAACAGTCGTTACACACAATATGTACAATAACCTAGAAAATAATACAAATTTCATATTCTCATAGTAGAGTGTGGAGGTTTCCTACTGCCGGGGGCTGGAGGTAGACCAGGACCTACTAAAGGTGACATGGAAGGGGATCTCGTCGCTAAAGGCGAGAGAGATGGCGAGAATGATGGCGACATAGCAGCTGCGGCTGAGAAACCTCCAGGCACATCATGACTTATGGGGGACCTAGGTAATAAATGTTGAGGTTGTCTACAAGACAACGACGGAGCGGGACAACTCCTTGGTGCTACAGTCGTCAATAATGGCGGCGGAACACTCTTGCCGCCAGATATTGATGTCCCTTTGCTCTTAGCACTAGACGCACCACTATTACCACTTTGAAGGGACACTGCGTCGTCTTTCAACCGAGCAATTTCTGAAAACACGTGTGCTAGAGGTTGATACTGTGGTCCCCAGTCGAGTAAGTAATCCCAGTTGTAACTGCCGGTGAGTTCTTCTTCTGAATGAACTATTGAGCTGAGACTGCCCGTCATTGATGGGCCTGCAGTTGGTACAGCATTATTATCTCCAGGCGCACTTGAGAAGGCGCCTAAAGCCATTGCTCTATCGACTGCTGCACTGGCTTCATCAGCGCTGCTCGCTCTTTCACTGCCTGTCACTTCATTGAGTTTAGCGTAGATAAGATTTGTTATATCGTTTTCGTGTCCACCATCTTCATCAAACATGTGCATAGAGTCAATAGGGCCATGATGTAACATGGTGTCTTTATTACCAACATTTTCAGAACATCTCCTGGAAGACGTAGATGCTCCACCACCAGTGCCAGTATCTACTATTCCAAGTCTCGCTAAATATTCTTGAGTATTATGAACCGAGACGTCTGATAAATTATCATCATCTACTCCATTCGCTTGTCTGTGAATACCTTCCCTCTGGAGTGGACCCTCATTGATCATTCTTATCTCTTCATCTTCACCGTCTTCGCCGTCCTCTGCAGATCCTCTACCACTGGAACCAGACTGATCTGAACCAGATAGTTCTGAGGTTGTTGCTGCTCCTGAGTTGGAGCTAGCCGTATGTGGTCCGTATGGTGGGATTTCGTCATACTTGGGTGGAGCAAATTGATTCCCGGAGCTAACTGCTCCGGTATTTCTAATAGAGATAGTGTCAAACGCACTTGGGTCAACGTAACTATTTGTTGCACCTACCCCTTCAGAGTTTAATCCAGGCTTGTTGACTTTTTTGTGCCTCTTATTTTTCATGTGAAGAAATAGGAATGCCGCTGCGAATATGATTATAATAAATATAAATGCGATCAGTAGACCTAATGCCCAATCGGAGAGTCCACCGCTGGGAGCAGCGGATGCGTCGTTTATGATATTTGAATCTAAGACTACTGTTTCATGGTCCAGTAATATCTCTACAGCTGTTTTGTTAGTAAGTGAACCTTGTCGTCCGGAACTCGCAGTGACTACTAGACTTATTGATTTATCAGAACCAAAAAGATTAGATACAGATTCCACTTTCTTCTTCAAGATAATTACACCAGTTGTTCGATTTATTTTGAAGTATGAATGCGATGTAGAGAGCTGGTATACTATTCTTCCGTCAATGCCCTTATCTCTGTCGGTGGCTGTGGCTTGACCAATCACATATCCTGCAGGAAGAGGTCCTGACTTAGGAATGCCGAAGTTATACGTCTTTTGAGTGAATTGCGGATAAAATTCGTCTCGACTCTCTATATCGATCCGGACCTTGACAGTAGAACTTTTCCCGCCAAGATCCGAAGCCTTGATAGAGAATTCATACTTGTTCTTTTGTTCATAATCAAAAACAGCGTTTGTGTTGACTAGTCCCGATGTAGCATCAATTAGGAACATTTTCCACGAATCATCGTTTCTGTTGTAATTCGTCGAGGCAGGCACAATAGAATAGTTGAGTTTTCCATATCGTCCTCTGTCAAGATCCGTGGCTCTTGCCGTAAAGACAGACGTTCCAACTCTTTCATTTTCACCGATAGTTTCAAAGTACTCATTCACTGGGAACGTTGGAGTATTATCGTTCTCATCAATGATACCAATTTTGATATACGCTGCATTACACAAAGAAGGCTCTCCCTGATCACAGGCAACTATGATAAGTTTGTAATCTGTATTGCCAGTATCATAATCCAGAGATTTGTTAACGCTCAATATTCCAGTGGTTGGATGAATAAAGAACAGTTTTTCGTCGTCTCCTGACGTGATGTTGTACCTGATAGCCGCGTTAGGAGTTCCATACAGATCAGCATCAGTTGCTGAAAGTTGTGTGATTGTATAGCCGATTTTCACATCTTCACTTACGGTCAATTCGAATTCATTTGTTGCAAATATTGGTGCATTGTCGTTGGAATCAGCAACTGTTACAAAAATAGTGATGGATGTCTTGTTTTGGTTGTACGAGAGTATTTTTCCTTCTTCAACAGCAGCTAGACCTAAAACGTATGTATCCTGTGTTTCTCGATCCAGTCTGGCAATTAGTATTAGAGCTCCTTCGCCGTTGACATCAAAGGAGTCCCCTTCATTCCCAGATATGATGTGAAAATCCAGATTGTACTTCTTCAAAACATCGTTGATACCGCCGATTTGAAGCAGCGTGGACCCCTTTTCCGTGTCCTCGTTGACTGTGATCCTGTAATTAAAAAATAAAACCAGTTTATTACACACGCTTTTATACCACAACACAGTTGTTTTGCTAGTACTTTATTAAGTAATGTAAACAGTTATGAAATTTCATAGTGATGTTCAAAAACTAACCTGTATGTGTCTTGTCCTATGAAAGGTTTGATCTCTGAAGATGCCCCGGTGCTTATCCTGACGGATGCCACTGCACTCTTATTTGGCTTCCCATGATCAGTCGCTACAACAGCCAACTGCGTATCTCGTTCGTTTGCCGGCAATGCACTGTAGTTCACGAATATTGCCCCAGTCACAGCGTCAATGTAATACCCCTTGGTCGCACGGAGAATCGAATAAGATATTCTGCCATTGTCTCCACTGTCCTTATCTTTTGCGTTCACTGAACCAATCTCCAATGTACCACTGCCTTCTGTAATAACATAAAGATAAAATATTAGTACGTAAAACTCTAAAACCTATAATGCAAATTTTTATTGTTAGTAATATTCTTACAGGAATGGACTTAGACGTGTCTATGTTATTTGCTTTATTTAGATTAGTTTCTCTAATTACAGTTATAAAAGATTTATGAGACCTACCAGGCAAAATTCTATTGTAAGAGATGTCATCAAATATGGGAGCGTTGTCGTTTACATCCATCACTTTTATAGTAAGCGTAGTTCTGGCGATATGTTCACTGTCAGAGGCGGTTATGTTTATTTCGTACATGATCTGCGTTTCGTAATCCAACGGTTTATTCAGGACTACCTTGCCACTGTATCTGTCTATAGAGAATCTGTTATCTTCCTGCAGTATGGCGTATTTGAGAGGCGGATATGTGTCCACGTCATTCGCCGTAACAGATGTGAGCACTGTGCCAACTTCCGCTCCTGTAAAAATAAATAAGAAACGTTGAAACACTGACGGGACTCCCTCATACGACTGCCGTTTTAACGATTCGCAAATAAAATCCTCTAAAACAAAACCACTGTCGACGTACAATGATATAAAAACAAACAAAAAAGCGAGAGACAATGAACGCGGACCGTTGGGGAGGCACCGCTAAAACATGCACTCGAAAAAAATGTAATACCATCCAATAAATATTGATCCTAAAGGAGTCCCTTTTATTTAATCTCGGCGCTGGAATCAAAAAGTCGCAATGTAAGCCAGTCGCGGAGTCAAGAATACAAATTATGTAAAATGCCTCCCTCTTTGTGAATCGCTTTTTGTTCTACCAATTTATTTCGAAAAATCGATAGGACGCCCTACAGCAAT